GCTCTGGAGAAGCCCTGCAGGGACACTGCCCAGAGGTACAGCCCCAGCAGCAGGAACTGCAGCTGTTTTTTCAGGAATCAGCCCTGGCACATGAGAACCTGAGGCCCAGCCAGGCTGTGCTGTGCTGTGCTGATGCTGAGTGTCCTGGGGCTGCTGCCCAGGGGCTACTGCTTTAACCAGTGTCACTGCTCCTGCCTCGCTGCCAGCGCAGGTGCCTCGCAGGGGTTGAGGGCCAGGCTGTGCTGGCTGTAGGAAATTAGCATTGGCTGTGTCTGGGGGTATCTGTCCATCCACAGGGAGCACTGGGATGCAAAGGCAACTGTGTGAATAGTGTAAGGTGTGGCCAGTGGGGTCTGCAAAACCTTTTTCTACACTAACACCAGCTTCTTAGGCTTTTCTGCATTAACCTTGTTTAGACATTCCTGGGATGCTTAAAAATAATTATAATGAACAGAATTTGCAGAATCTAAGGGAATAAGGCACTGACTTGTTTCCTTCAGTTTGACACCTCTTCCAGCACTAAGTTGGGTAAAGTGTAGTGGAAACTCCAGACTCAAATTTAACATGTATATTTTGGCTATTTTCTACCCACTGTTACTTTGTTTATAACCACCTCTCAGCTCCTCACACCCAAAGGCACGTCAGGCAGCAATTCCAGTATGACTAAAACTCCATTGCTGGCAAAACACATTAGTTTTTGTCCTTCTGACAATGCCTGATCCATCCTGTCCTTCTCTTAGGCACTGTTGGACACATTTAGCACCAGCATGTACTCATGACTCACAACTCACAGGATTACTTCAGCCTGTTTGATATTCAAAAATAATAACTGAATATTTGCTACTGAATTTAATGTGAGACCATTTACAAATCTGGGGGAAAATGACCGGATGTTAAGTTGCAAAATCACGGAATCATGGAATTACAGACTGGTTTGGTCTGGAAGGACCTTAAAGACCACCTGGTCCCACCCCCTGCCATGGGCAGGGACACCTCCCACTAGCCCAGGTTGCTCCAAGCCCCATCCAACCTGGTCTGGAGCACTTCCAGGGATGGGGCAGCCACATCTTCTCTGGGCAACCTGTGCCAGTGCATCACACACTCAGAGGGAACAATTTCTTCCCAGTATCCCATCTAATCCCTGCCCTCTGGCAGTGGAAAGCCATTCCCTGTGTCCTGTCACTCCAAGCCATTGCAAGATAGTGTAAGTTCTACCCCACCTATTCATACATTTTTAAAATAGGTTCAAATCGTGAATGACTGCACTGGTATTGTGTGTGGGCAGGAGAACAGAACAAACCATAACAATGCAGCTCTAAGAATTATTTGGATTTTTGTGAAAACAGGAAAATTGTCCATTGTCCATCAATTGTCAGCCCAGAAGAGTGGTGGAGTTACTGACTGGCCTCAACGTGTAGAGGCAGGATGAGAAGTGGCAATACTTACATCTGCTTCATAAGAAGGCCAAGCTCTGTGGTGGGACTAATATTATGTTTCATTTTACCTTGTTTAATTCCCTTTTGTGCTCTGACCTTTCGGGGTTTTTGTTTTGTTCTGTTTTTAAATTTTTTAACTTCCTAGGAAGAAGAAAAGAATTAAAGCAGATTTAGACTGGGTAAAAACCAGAAAAAATGGTATGTAGATAAACCCCTCCCTCCTATCTCATTCTTATCAGTTTTATTTTAAACATCCTGAGCAGTGTGAGAACTGGGAAAGAAGGGGAAGGGAGTAAAAAGAACCTTTAGAATCTAAAGCCTAGTGCCTTCCTTCCTGCTCTGATGAGTGGAACTGGGTAATTGTGGTGCTTTGGCAGAGGCACACACACTAAGGTAAGGGTAGCAGCTCCAGCTGGCCTGCAGCTCTGAGCTGATCCATTCAGGTTCCTGGGAAATTAGGCTATTGTGTTGCTGTATTCACTGTCTGTCTGGGTGTTTGTAGGTGGTTGTACAATGGCTTGTGGACTCCTCTTCATCAGAGCAAAGTGAATCCATCCTGAAGTGGAAGGGATCAGGATGTGAATGTCCCAATGGTTCAGTGCAGCCCCTTTTTGCTGCTCCCTGCTGGGCTCAGTGGAGCTGCCAGATGAGGGGATGGCCATGTAGGGGTGTTGGCAGGCAGGAGCTGCTGCCCTGTGCTCACTGCCAGGCCACAGGAAGCATGAGCTTTCCCTGCCCTTGGGTGACAGCCCCCAAGAACCAGCCAACAGTGGGAGCTGAGCAATTTTAATAGTTAATTGTAATGCTCTTGTGGCCTGAGCAGAACAAAACAGAAATAATCAGGCTTAAAACAAACAAAAAAAACCCAAAAGCAACACAGTGTTATTTTAGAATATAAGCACATGTAGCTGAACTAATACTCCTGACGAGCAAGGACATGGATTTCTCTCAGGGCATCCTGCAGTCCTGTAGGGGAGAAGTGACCTTATTTGCATTTTTCTTGTTGAATTGCTGTTGGGATTTCTGCAGCATGGCAAGAGAAAATTCCTCCAGGAGACCATGAAAATATCACAGCACTAACGCAATATCCTTCAACTAGGTTCCTTCTCCTCAGCCTCTGTTGCCCCTCGCCCTGCCACCTGCCCACCCACCCAGCACTAACAGCACAGCTCCTGCTCCCAGCTGCACCCTCAGCCTTGCCCTCCCCGTGCACCGAGACAGCAGTGGGCCACGGCCATAGCACATAGTGCCCATGAACCAAACGGCAAACACGGCTCACGTTTTCCTCTGTATTTCAAAAGCATGGAATTTGCTCCTTCCCCAGGTTCCAGAACAATCTGTGACCTCCCCTCCCTGCAGCTGCCCTTCCTCCCCAGCCTGTTGGGAAGCAGGAGGCAGCTCTGCCCTCGCCGTGTACTCGCACACCCCCCGAGTGCTCCTCTCTAAGCTCAGCAGTTTGGAGTTGAAGTCTATGATTTTAGACGCCTCTATCAGGAGCATTTTCAGCTCTAATCAGGTTCTCTAAATTGCTTAGACTCTTTCCCTCCAGTTTCACAGTTAGCTAATGACGTTGGGAGCCCAGGAGCAGCAGCCCCTCCGCAGCGTTGCGCAGGCGCAGCTGTACAGCTTGTCCACGTCTTCTCCCCTGCCATGGCAGCTGACACAGGGACCAAGGACTGGTTTGTAGGAATGGCTCCTCTGCCTGTGCTGTATCCAGCTGCTGGCTCACCAGCCTGTTGGCTTCAGCCTGAGATGGCTCAGAGATCAGGGGTGGCAGCTGCTGCAGGTCACAGGCCAAAACAGCAGCAGAAGTGACCTGAGGAATGGCCATTTCCAAATCCAGTTTTTTTCCCAGGGCTGCTACAGAGCCTGGTCTGGCATCTTCCCACAGGAGAACTAAAGCAGCAGCATGCCAGGAAGGGCTATTACCTGTCACCTTTTAAGCTCCCTGCTTAAAGTATGCCCATCCTAATTACATCATAGCAATAGCATGGGTTAAATGCACACATCACAAGTGGGATACACATATTAAAAGGCTATTTTCATATATATGACACATTTGGAACTTGCTTCATAGAAAATAACACACAAAGGGTTTGGCCAATGAACGACTGCAAAATTCAGAATTTAATGTATAATATAACCTTTATTCTTTTTCCTCTAAACTCTTGGAAACTTACATAACAATCGTGCTTTAATTATGACACTGTTTATAGACATTTAAAATGCATCTTAATTTATAAATATTTTACATTTGGTCCATAGAACAGGTTGCAATTTACTAAATAATACTGTACTCTTTTAAACAGGCTCTGTATATATTTTTGAATATGTATATATTACATATATATTTTATATAGAGATAGATTTGCTTGGTGTTCAGATATTTCCTTATTGCAAAAAGCATATATGATCATACATAATCTTCTTTTCAGGGCAAGTACTACAAAAAAGATACAGCTATTCACAGTTTACACACAGTAGTTCTACAACACTAGTTTGTGCTATGTGATACGTTTGTACAGCTTTTTGCTAAAGAGCAGGTCTGTCAAACATCTGTCATAATTGTTTACAATCAAACATTAAATACTGCATTTTTCTTAGAACAACATGGGACTTGAGTACATTAAACAATAAAGAGAAAGTTGGAATTTTTATCCTTAGTCTAATGAAATTCACAGTTAGGATGTGCATGTATCATGTGTAATGTCTGTGTAGGATGTAGGGGTTCCTCTAAATCCCAAAGACTTACAGGACGTTTGCATCTCAGCTATGGCCATTTAGGATGTAGCTTAGATCTTGTAGTAATTTACAATTGATCTAGGTATGAAACAGTTTAGAATCTACCAAACATACTCTGAGATTTTATGATGTAGTTTGAAATACATGTGTATTATATATATATTATTTCTACATAATGTGCTTGACATTCTGAGAATAATACCTTATTGCAAGAACATGTTTGTCACCTTCAGACAAAAACAACAAAAAACCCAACATTCACAGGTAACATGTTTTTCACGTAGTAGTTCTACATAAATTGTGCTATCTAACATTGTACGGTGCACAAAAAGTTGCTGAGAAGCATGTTTCATTGCACAGTTCTGTCACAGTCATTTACAATCAAACATCAGCTACTGCACTCACCATAATCCTCCGTGTCTGTCATATAGCTGCCAAACGAGAAATGCCATCCGGGGCTAGCGCTGCATTCCCCACACAGGGACAGCTTCCAGGGGCTGGCTGGGCTCTCTGCCTGTGTGGCCAATGCAGACGGAGCCCAGAGTGCGATTGCATCGGATTGAAATAGCTTTGCCTCCTGCCTTCATCACCACCAATCATGTGGAAACAAAATATAACTGTTCTCAAAGTGCTAACGATCCATCGTTCGTAATTTGCTTATTAGGAACTGTTGAAGTCCTCTAACAGATTAAAAAGAAATGGGTGGGAATCGAACCCTAAATTAGAATTTACAGGGAGAAGCTTCCATCCTTAAGCTTCCTTCTTTAAACCATTGTTTTGGAACCCTTAGCTTCCTTCTTTAAACCATTGTTTTGGTTTCTATTTTGGTGGCAATGCAATAATAGTAGAATAATCATAGAATAAGAAAAGCTCAAGCACTCAGAGCTTCAATTGCAACTCCTTCGCATATTACTCCTGGGAATCTGTAAGAGCTCTTGGATATTACTGTGCTAAAAAAGTTAAAAGTCATATTTATGCCCCTAAGACCTGCGATTCGTGTGGCAGTGATTCACAGAGATCTTTGTTTGATAAAAAACACTAGATGTATTTTTAAAGAAATTTATGACTTGATGTGCAAGTCACCCTGAAAGGCAGAGCAGAGCCAGTGTGCACAGCAGCCTGTGCTGCACGGCCACAGCACACTCAGTTTGCACTAGGAATGTTTGTAAAGGCTGTGGCTGCTGTTAATTGAAGGAAGGCTCTTACCCCTCAAATGGCCTCAGCTGGAACAAATTTTAAGGGCAGACTTTTTCACTGGAAATCACTTGTTTACAAAATGCTTCATTCTTTTGTACAAAACAATTCCAAACTTAATTTTACTCCTGCAAAGTCAGAAATAACAGTCTTGGGATTCAGCGGTAAGAAATAGTGATAAACTACTAAAAATCAGCAGCACAAAACTTCAAATAGTCGTGCTAAAAGGTAGATTAAAAAGGTCTTGGCACATCAATTTACAAATTCCAAGATATGCAACTATTATTGTGGAAGGATAAAAACATTAACAGTCTGTGGATTGCTGGAGAACACAAAACACTGTCAACACGTGAGCTGGCGCGCCGGCCGGATCGAAGCCCTGGCGATTCCCTTGGAGTGGAGATGACCTTTTTTCTTTTTTTTTTCTTATTTTTTTTCTTTTTTTTTTTTTTTTTGCCACTAGAGGTAGGTAATTATATTCTCAGACATAAATTTGTGGTCATATTCAACCATATTTTTTGTTTTTCTGGAGTAGGAGTGGTACTTTTACAATAGAGAAGTTTAGATGTAAGCTTCTTTGTTAGCAGAGTTGCTCTGTTGAGCCTGGTCTGGCCCGTTCTCAGGGTGAGTGATGTCTTCACTTGGCTGAATCATCACTTGGATGCGCTGTTTAAAGGACAACAATAAATGTGAGGTAGCAAAAAACCTGATTCTAAGCTTACTTTTTGGGTTTTTGTTTTGTTTAGGGTCAATCCTAAACCCTTTTGTCAAGGCCTTAGAACTAAGCCCATACCTGCCGATCTCCCCAGGGACAAACCAGCAGTGAGCCACTGCTAACCAGAGTTTTGGCTCCGTTCTGAACAAGGCAGCAGGAGCTAATAGACTCCATCATGTAAAATGTTAGATGTCAGCAGGCATTAATGAGGGAGAATGCCTAGGGAAGAGAAATGAGGAGAGACTCTCCTGTGAGCCCACAGGTCAAGCACAGAGGCTGCAAGTCAGGCCTCAGGGTCATCTCCGCAGAGAACAGAAGGAACTAGAGAGTATTGGCTGCAGCTTCTGGGAGTTATCACCTCCAAGAATACAACAGGCAAAGCAAACTTGTATTTAAGATTATTTCTGTTCTGTCTTTCCTTGTTCTTTTGTGCTCTTCATTCCTGAAGCTTCTCTGCTCAACTCATGTTTGATTGCAACAGAGAACCCAGTTTGGATCCTCGGAGCCTGTCACTGGTGCACGTTCCTCTCACTGCCTAATGATCATTTGTCAATGCTTTCAAAAATGAGACTTTAATCCACAGCAAGACTGAGATGAGGAACTTTTGCTGTGTTCTTATACAACTCTGCCCAAGCAGCAGCTGTGTTTTAGAGCAACAGTTCTCCACTTGTACGTCAATGTTTCTGTAAGAGCGAGGGAAAGATATTCAAAACATAGGAGCTAAGAACTGGCAGGGGAAATAAAAAAAAAAAGTTTTTTTGTAGACTTCTTTGAAGCCTCACTGAGTCTTTTAAAATTTGCTGAAGACAAATATTTGGATCAAGATCTGAGCATTTCATGAGACATTACTCGTCAATTCTGCTTAAGATCATCTGGCTCTGTGCAAAGATGGCTCTGTCAGCTGATTTTAGAATTATCCAGAAATTCTGACAAATTCATTTTGACAGTCTTTGGTTCCCACAATCACAGAGGGAGGGATGTGTGTTTCAGTACTTGGGCTGTTATGCATAGCATGAGCTGGAGAGGAAAAACTGAGGATGTACCCAGATTAAAAAATACTAGGTATGGTGATTGCAGGTGGTCACTGAGCAGTATGAGGGTCAATAACCTTATCAAGATTCTTCATTCCTTTTGCAGCAGTCTCTGAGGACCTTAAACCTGACTCAAGCCTCTCTTACATGGGAAGTGTCATCTTCTTTCAGCAAATGGAATGAGAAATCAGGGAGAGGCTGTGTGCACGTTAGGCCTCTAATGTTCTTCATGAAGTAACTGTTCCCAGAAATCCCTTTAATAAAGACTGAAGGGAAGTGCTCTCAGGATTTTTCATGTCCTTTCTGCCAGCTGCAGCAAAGCAAGGCAGCAGGGGGAACTCAGAACAGGTGTAGTGCAGAACAGAAGCTTGTCTTTGATCACATCACAGGGAGATGCTAAGTAGAGTCACTGAGCAAACTCAGACAAACCAAGAGTTATGTGGATTAGTCCTAAGAGTTGGATTCCAGTTCCCCAGAGCATCCCCTGCCTTGATACATGACAGGATGTCTTGCATTCATAAGGGCAAATTTACATATTCTGTAAACTGCTACTTTGTCTTCTAGGTGTAAGGAGCTGGAATGCAAAGTTATTGCAGCTGTCAGAGCCAGAGATAAGGACCACATGTAATGTGGGGAATTATGTTTAACAACAGATGGTATAGACACTCTTGTCTTTTCTCTAGTTGGTACTTGTTTTTATGCTTTTCAGCTCAGTGCAAGATAACTTGGCTAAGCAAGTGAGGATATATATAGCAGAAAGGAACTGCCCAACAGTCTTTGATCAGTGTGCACAGGTCTCAAGATGGTCAGGAAAGAGAGACTTACCTGTTTTAAGGAGCCTTTCAGGGTTAGAAACATATATGCCATGTAGCCTGGTATCAGCACCATAGAAGACAAAGCCATGAACCAGCCAACCCCTTGGCCCCATTTAGGGAAAACATAACTTCCCATCGTGAGGGGAGTCATTTGGACAGCACTGAAGATAAACACTCCCTGCAAAACACAGCACAAAGGAAGATTTGTATGGGATTCCCAGAGTGTTCTGGTTTCAAGAGTTTTTCTGGAGTTTCCCTGAGAAGCTTCTTACCAAAATGACTGTTTCACATTAACACTATATTTTCCTGCACCTCATTAACATGCACCTCAGATTATCCAGGTATGCTGCTAGGGAAGCCACTGACACTGGTAAATTCCTCA